GAGGCGATTGGCGGCCGCGGGGAGGGCGGGCGCGGATTGGCCGCGCCGAACAATGGGCGCGCGGCGGGGCGCGGAGCGGCGCGGATCTCCCCGGAGCTCCGCCGGGCACCGGCATCGCGAGCCCGACACGGAGCGCGGAGGGCGCGGCGGCGGCCCCGGGGGACGGGCGGTGGCGTCGCTTTCCCCGCGTGCCCCGTGTTTCCCTCCTTCCCGCACTGTTCCCCGACCTTGCCGTCGCCGTGCATTTTCTTCTCTTTGCGCTCCCCTTCGCCGCCCCGCCTCCCGTCCCCGTTTTCGTTGCCGTCGCTCCAGGTTTCGCTGCGGGGCGATGCTGTCAGGAGCCGGACACCGGCGGCCGCCCCGACGTTCGCGGCCGTCGGCCCCGTCGGGGCGGCCGTTCCCGATAGCGGCCGCCCGGCCGGCCGGAATCAGCGGGAACAGCCGCGCGTTGCGGCGCCTCCGTGCACCTGATCCCGCCGTGCTCCCACACAGAAACCTCCCGCGTTTCTTTTTTTTTCCTCCTTTCTACTCATCCCCCCTCCCCCAGTCTCCACGGGCTCTCTGTGCATTAGCGGAGCAATAAGCAGAGCACTCCAGCGGCCTCTGACTCGGTTTTAAATTCCCGCAGACTTTACGGCACGGCGGCAGGAGCGGCTCCTTGAGAACGCCGGCACGGCGGAATCGCTGCCGTCCCTGGGGCTTCGCGCCCGCCCAGCCGTGCTGTCGCCTCCCCAACGCGCAGTGCGTTGCGGGACGTGTGACGGGCGCGGGTCCACCTGCGCGGGTGCGGAAGGATGCTGTGGCCGCGGCTGCGCTCGGAGAGGTCGGGCTGTGGAGCGGCCAGATGGGTGCTCCAACCTGAGCACCGGCTCCGTGGGTCCTGCAGCCCTCGGCTGTGACACCGCAGAGGAGCGGGAGAGGAGGACTTGGCTAATCGGGGCCGTCTGTTTGACCAGCATCCCCCGCTTTGAGATGCTGAAAGCGGCCGCGTCGTGCATTTGTGCGGGAGCTGCGGGGGGAAGAGCTGCGGTGTTTGAGGTCATCCTCCAGCCGGGGGATTTGGGCATCCCTGCCCGCCTCCCGGAGCTTTCCGCCGCTGCCCGCGCATCTCCCGGCTGCATGGCAGCGGCACCGTGGGGTTCGCAGCTGATTGCTGCCCGTCACCGGAGTGCTGAGCGGAGCCGGGTGGTGCGGAGGGCTCTGACGGCGGGCTGCCAGCTTTTCAGTGCGGCATTCCCCGAGGGGCAGGTGTCGGGGGCCTGAGTGAGTCAGTATCTGCGTGTTACCGGCTAAACGCAGAAATGAAATGTCAGATTACAGGAGGACGAGGCGCGTGTAAGGATAGGGCGGCTCGGCAGGCAGGTTGCGTGTTGCATCGCTCCTTTTCCCACTCGAGGGCAACGTTCTCTATGCTCACCCAAACCTCCCTCCGTCTGGAGAGCAGGAGAGGTTACAGCAGGGCCAGCCCAGCCCCCCTGCCCTGCCAGGCTCAGCTGTGCCAGCGCGCACCGTGCAGAGCCCAGGAGGGGCTGCACACGTGGTCAGACAGGCGGGGTTTGGGCAGGTAGGGGCAGCGCGCTGGAAAACCCCAAGAATTCAATTGCCGCGGAAACACCAAAACACCAAAAACCCCGGACCTCCTGCAGAGATGTGCAATGACTGCAGGTAGCGCCAAGAGGCACAAAACCAGCAACTCGCGGCCCCGAACAGGGGCTGGTTGCTTGGAAAACAGCTTTCAGGTTGGCTGGCATTGCTGGGGAGCCGTGAGTGGAAGCCCGATGCCCTCCCTCGGGGCTGACGCTCCCTGCTGCCCCCGGTTCCCCTCTGCAGCTCTGGGGGCAGCCGGGGCCGGCCGTGGTGCGGGGGGTTGGCATCGCAGCTGCTCTCCGTGTAGCAGCTCTCCGGGTTGTGCTGCCACATACAAACACGAGTTGCCTCTAGAAAGGGGAAACGGTGACAATTTTGTTGTTTGCAGCAGATTGCAAAGGCAGTGAATGGCGATTCTTTCCGAGCCAGCCGTGGATTAAGTCCATTATAAAATTAAAACAGATGGAACGCAATTTCACTTGCATTACAAAAAAGGACAGGAACCATCTGCAGTAAGATTTAGCATTGCAGAGCTATTGTTATCATGTTACCATTAAAACCTTTGAAGAAGGGTTTTCTTTTCTTTCGGAAACTCGTCTGCCCGAAACAAATGTTTTCTTTCTCCATCTCTCTCAGATGATGATATTTTATGTAAAAACACGACGTCTCTCAGCCACAGCTTTGGCTCCAGCGAGATATGCTGAAGCAAAGGTGGTAAAACTTCAGCGTTGAACTCTTTGGGTCTTTGGTGGGGAGGATGTGCCAAAATATCCCCCGTGCTTTCTTCCTTTAAAAAACATTTCCTTGGGTTTGGGGACAATGTCTGATACTGAAAATAGATAATTAATGAGATAATGGGATACTGTATGTCACCTCCTGTCCGATGGGATTATCTGATGGCTAATTATGGACAGATTGTGATTAATGTGATTATGGATTGGTTATTAATCTGATTCTGGATTGATCTAGTTATGTTTTAGTCTGCTCCAAATGGTTAATTGGATCTGAGATAATAGAAATGCAGCTTGCACCAGATTTTGCCACATCAGTTGATGAAGTATCTTTTGATCTGGGTGGGTTGCGAACAATAAATTATTTACAGCTGTTGAGAAAATGACTCTTCCTTAGAATGTAGCCATTCATTTTATTTTCGAGGGCCTTTGAAAACAAAATCAATATCCTTTTTAAAAGGAGATGTTGACAAAAGAAAGGCACGTACATAACTCACAAACAAATGTGACGAAATTAAACAGCGGTTAACCCGGTGGCCCAATGTCTGGTGATGCATTTGAATTGCTATGCGGAGCTTTGGGCTCAATTCTTCTGAGACCAGCAGGGGTTGGGAGCATTGCAGGGGAAGAGGGCCCAGCTCTGCAGAAAGTGGTATTGCACAAGAGCCGCTGCCAGCCCTGCTATTGATTAAGAATCAGCCGTGGTAGAATGGCAAAGGGAGTCCTTGCCACCCCGTCCCCTCCGGGTAAGAGGGATGCAGAAAGCTCGTGGGCTCATCCCACCACCTCGTCTGACTCCCTCTGCACCAGGCCCTGCACTTGGCCTGGCGTTATTCTTTCTCCCCTCACACTGAGCCCATTGATTTCTGGGCGACCTCAGAGATGCGTCTGGTCTGGATGCAGCCTGCCAGCATGGGAGAGGCTGCCTGGATCCCTGCAAGGCCGTCCTGCTGCCCCCCTACTTTCACTGAAGTGCAAATTGAGTTCACATTTCTGGGATCTTGTGCCATTTTCTGCGGTGGCTGTGATGTAGGGGTTGAGAAATGGGGCTGGGAGGAGAGTTGGCACCAGGTGGGATGGGCAGCAGGTAGCTCACAGAGGTGCCGGCAATCAAGCAGGTCTCAAAGCTCTGAGAACAGGTTTATTGAGGCTGAATTGAAGGAAAAGAAAGGAAAAGCAACTTTCCCTTTTCTATGCTGCCATTCCCCCAGGTGCCCGTGCTGCTGCAGGAGTGCTGGGGCTGCTGCCAGCGCCCCCATCCAGGTTCCTCCCTCCCCAGCAGTACAGAGGGCAGAGGAAGCAGCTCCTGCTTAAAAAATAATGCCATACAAGCCAATGGTGCATTTTACACACATCTCCCATTAGCAAGGAGGTGAGGCACGCACTGGAGGAGGGATGCAGGGTACCGCAATGAGCACTGTGCAGGGTGGAGAGGAGTGCTCTGCAGGGGTCCCCTTCCTTCCTCCCTTCCTGCAGGATGGTGTAGCAGGAGCTGCCTGCTCAGGGAGCCTGCTCTATGTGCTGAAGGTGCCTGCATACATCCCTCCTTGCCTGTCCTTGGCAGAATGACTGTTTCTTGCTCAGACAGTGACTTGCACTTGGGGAGCACTGGCAGCTTGCAGGCTTATCACTGCGCCCTTATTACCTGTTCTGCACCTGGAAATGGTTGATGAGAGATGGCAGAGAAGGGGAAACACCGGTTAAAAGTGGCTTTGCAGGCTTTGCAGGGATGGATGGCTGTTGGGGTGCTGCTGAGGGAGTGCACCTCTCTGCACCCTGTGTTGGAGATGGGGCTGGTGGGGCTGTGCTCACCTGAGGGCTCACGGAGGGACTTGTGACAGACAGAGTGCTGGTGGCAGATGTGGGTGGGTGGCTGTGAGGTGATCTGGGCAGAGTATTAAGCTACACCGTGCTGGGGTTTTACACCAAAAGAACCCAAGAGTGTCAGGCTTGTATCTGTGGCAGGTGGGTGAGGAGCCAGGCCTTGGGGAGGTGCATGCCATCCTGTTGCCACTGGCCCCACCTCTGTGGGGAAGGGCTTTGCAGCACTCAGGCACAGAGTATTTCAGCAGCAGAGCTCTCCCAACTCAGGTTGTCACCTTATGTCTCCCCCCACAGGCACCTGCCTGGCCCTGGGCTGCAGATCCTGCACTCTGAGCCCTAAGCAGGTTGCAGTTGCTTTAACCTTATTGGATTTTGACAGATTAGGAGGAGAATCCTTTCGTGTGGTGGAGAAGCCTCCCAAATGAAGCTCTTCTAATTTATCTGAGTCAGCTCTGCCTGGCGGAAGTGGGAGGAGTAAGCTGAGGACCCCTGCCAGAGGGGACCATCATAGCAGTAACAAAAAAATATATATATTCCTCCCCTTCACTAAATCCCATAGCTGTGAGGCTGTATTAGCTGGATTCCGTATGTTTTAATTAGGAATTGTGTATTTTAAGGGAACCAAAATCCGATTCTGATGGAGACGTGGCAACGAGTTTGTGATGGCTCTTGTTCTGTGTTCCTTCTGTCAGAGGCCCCAGGGCAGGCACACCTTTACAACCCTTTTATTCTAAGTTAGAACAACTGCATTATTGATTTGCCTCCCACCCCAAGAGTGTGAAAAAATGTAATTCCCTTTCAAATACAGAAATTGGGTCAGCAGATACTAATGAAATAATCCTGGATAACAATGCACTATAAATGGATCTGCTTCCACTAATTAATGGCTCATTTTTCTTTCAGAATAGAGCCATATCCTCTGCCCACTGGCAGGATGATGACTCTGGTGCTGGCAGCACCTACCTGGTGCAGTTTTACTATGTTTATTGTTGTTGTGCTGGAGGTGGGAAGGCCAAATTAACAAAGAAAAAAAAAAAAAGAGCTTTTTGCCACCGTTCAGCTAATATGGATCGTGCTGATATAATCCCCAGCTGATTACAGTTATAAGCTCCTCCAACAGTGGCCATACGTGATAAAGACTTCCTTTGTGCTTCAGGGAATAATCCGCATCAAGCCAGTTTCAATAAAGATTACACGCATCTGAAGTGTTGAGGGTTTTAAATTAAAATTATAGACAGAAAATACAACAAGGAGCCTGATGTGCCTCCAGGCTGGTGACAGTACACCCAGAAACCTGACCTGGGGGGTGCCTGCAGCACGCTGCCCATCCAAAGACACCACATGCTGCTAAAGAATCCACTGCACTGCGGAAGAATCAACTCATTCTGGGCTCTGAAGCAAGTAGGTCAGTTTGGATGGAGATGCTCGTGGTTGTTTCGGGGTGAAGCACCAGCAAACCTCATAGCACCAAACCAACAAGCAGGAGCTCAGTGGAGATCATAGAGTCACAGAACCATGGAATGGCCTGGGTTGAAAAGGCCCACGATGCTCATCTGGTTCCAACCCCCTGCTGTGTGCAGGTCACCAACCAGCAGCCCAGGCTGCCCAGAGCCACATCCAGCCTGGCCTCGAACGCCTGCAGGGATGGGGCATCCACAGCCTCCTTGGGCAGCCTGTTGCAGTGCGTGTTGCAGTGTGTGATACAGGGTTCAGGTGCAGATGGCTGCTCTCCTCTCCCCCAACACGTGCTCTCTCCTTCTGTAAGCTGGAAGCTCATTTCTGGAGCTGAACACAGCGTGCCACGGCTTTAATTAATGAAACGCATTAACGACAAAGAAAAGCAGGGCAGGCAGTGCTGCTCAGGATGCTCTTTGCATCCTTATTTTGCCGCTGTTCTTTTAGGCTACGCGGGGTGCAGTAGGAGGGGCTGTACACTGTATGAATTTCATCTGCAAAGGGCTCCTCTTACGTTGTTTTACTGGCTTGGAATGGAGTTCAGCACGGAGCACGGGCTCGGGGCGCTCAGCCGCCCGCTGTTTGCTCCTCCGCACGGAGCTCCCCGTCTTCAACCGTCCCGCCGCCGGGGGGGGCGCTCTCCTCAGCTGTCCATTGGCTTCGCGCCGCGACCAATGAGGAAGCGGTGCGGCGCGGCGGCTCTCGCGAGAGCGGCGGCGGAGCGGGACGGCGGAGCCATGTTGCGGGCGGCGGCGGCGGCGCGCGGCGTGAGGAGGGCGGTGAGTGAGGGCAGCGGGGGCCGGCACGGCCGGCTGCTGAGGTTGGAGCCCGGTGAGGGGGGATGGTCCTCGCGGCCGCTCGGAGCCTGCTGTGTCCGCGGGAGGCTGTGGCGCTGCGAGCCCCGCGAGCTGCAGCCGCAGTTAATCACCGTGCCGCCCTTCGCGGTGCCGCGCCGTGCTCCGCTGTCACGCTGCTCGCGTTACCGAACGGCGCGGCGAGGTGAGCTCAAGGACGGCCCCGCGGTTGTGCGAGCAGCGAGCCTAACGGGGCTCGCCGTCCCGCCGCTTTGGGGTCCGCTCCGAAGAAGCGCTAAGAGCGGTAAAACGAGAGCGAAAAGCACGGGCGGCTGCGTGGCGTGCGGCACTGAAGGCACAGCTGTTGCAATCGCGGTGATGGAGTTCGGCCCCGCGCCTGCTGGAGCAAAGGTCGTTGTGGAGAGCAGCTGTGCGAGTGGTTGGCTCCGTTAGTCAGCTGCTGGCACTGCTGCCCGCGGGGGCCGTGCTGCCCAGCACGGAGGTGCGCAGGGCTGTGGAGCCTGGAAGCATGAGGTCGGCTGGTTGGTCGGCTGTGTGCGCCCGGAGTGCTTATGTATATAGATAATGGGCTTGTTCGGCTTGGGAAAGAGAAGGCTCGGGGAGACCTCGGTGTGGCCTTCCAGTGCTTGAAGGGAGTGTATGAGCAGGAGGGGAACGGCTGTTTGTGAGGTGGATGGTGATAGGACAAGGGGAATGGTCTTAAACTGAGACACGGTGGTTTAGGTTGGATATGAGGAGGAAGTTTTTCACACAGAGGGTGGTGAGGCAGTGGAACAGGTTGCCCAAGGAGGCTGTGGATGCCCCATCCCTGCAGGCATTCAAGGCCAGGCTGGATGTGGCTCTGGGCAGCCTGGGCTGCTGGTTGGTGACCTGCACACAGCAGGGGGTTGGATCTACGCAATCATTGAGGCCTGTAAAGTATAAGCAGTAAGAAGAGGTCGGAGCTGCATATCTTCATGAAAAGAGGACTGAGAGGTACAGGTCCACAAGTACAGGAATAATTGGTGCAGATGTGGGAGTGAGCCATTTCAGTGGTAGGTGCAAATAAAGTTATATTAGTGGGCTTAAATTACAAGACAGAGTGTTGGGAAGAGCAAAGATAGCCATTAAGAAATCATTTCTAATAGAAAGCATGGTAGTTTTTTGGAATATCTTGCCCAAGAGTCATTGTGCTGATGGCAACCTAGATGTGTGTTGGAACTGTCATAGATTCAGCTGCTTATTGCATGGGCTACTGAAATGTAATGTTCAGCTTGTAATGATATTAAACTGTGGTGATCAGAATTGTCCTGAGGTCACACATTTCTATCTCTATAAAATAGCAGATCATGTATTCCCCTAAAATTCTTTATTATTATTATTTTTTTTTACCACGTAAACAAGTATTTGTCCCTTCAGTCTCTTTTCCTCTTCCTCGTAGGACATCACACAGCACTTTAAGGCCATCACCTTCTAAATCTGTACCCAGTTTTCATTCAGCCTGTGCAGGTAGGCCTTACAAGGGCAAGCAAGCAGTGTTAGTCTTGGCTGCTTAAAGACTGAAGTGAATTGATCACCCTCGCTCCATGCTCACTCAAAAAAGATTGACAGTGAAGGGCGCTGTGGCTCTCCATTTAAGAACACCATTTCACAGTATTTTAGGGGGTGGTGACCCAGTTTTCACTGCTGCTGAGTCTTTTGGTTTCTCTTCACTCATTCAGAGCTCGCAACTCCCTGCTATTTCTGAAAACAGCGCGTTTTATTTCATACCCATATGTATGTGTGTATGTGCGTATATTGTGATGAACATGTGGGTTTTTAGTTTTGTTTTTGGCTTGAGGGACTTCAGATAAATGGATTTAATAGCCTGGAACGCTGCAACAAATGATGACCTTGCAGGAGAAGTGCTGGGTTGCATTTGAAGGTTGTGAGAATACTTTGCATCTGTCCTTCAGTTGGCACTGGTGGCTCAGACAGGTTGCTGCCTTTTTTAGCGAGGTCGTTTATCTTGAGTTTACTTTCAGTAGATTTGTCTGTATTTACAGACAGCTTTGCTTTGAGTTTTATTAACAATCTGTGTGGGGTGCATCTGGGAAAACTTCTTCACTACGTCTTTCTTTTGCTGCTTCAATTCCTTTGCAGTCACGTCTTGATTATTCTTGATTCCTAAATAAATTGTTAAGTATTTTCTTAATTTCTTTTGGTGTTCTCTGTTGCAGTTGCAGCTTCTTTTCAGCTTAGGTGACTTCAGTGATATTTTTCCAGTTAGTGTTTCCTGGAGTTCAGTAGCTGTGTCTCAGACCTCTCCTGCTGCCAGGTGGTTACAGAAGCTCTACAAGTATAAACTTTATTGCCAGGTCTCCCCGATTGTATTGAGCTTGCCAAATATGTATATATGAATTTATTTAAGCTTTTCAGCCATGAGAGTGTCTTTTAATTGAATTAAGCATTATTTTGTTGTACGGGAATGCAGCCACCCCAAACCTTTGCCTCGAGTCTATTTTTAGGATTCTTTTCCTTCCAGTGCTAATGGGCCTGTATGAGATACCCAATTCCTATTAAGCAATTTTAGAGTGCTATTCTCTGGCCAGTTTGCTCTTACAGCTAAGAAGATGTTGTCTGTAGATTGACTATGGGCAGTTCAGTGTTGGCTGCAGAGGCAGTTGAGTCACCAATCCTACTAAACAGTAAGGAAAGATAGTAAGGAAACACCCTTGTCTGTGATTTTTTTTTTTTTTTTTTTTGTGGTTAGTACATGTATTTTATAGTATATAAGCACTAAACTTGTATTTAAGAAGTGCTGGACCTCTATGCACTGTATGGGTGATCTGAAAGTCCAACATGCATTTGATTTTCATTAGCATTGCTGTGAGCAGGCTGCAGAGCTTTTGGCGTGGTTCTGCACCACAGCCTTATCTCTAAAATGGAGAAATATGGATTTGAAGGCTGGGCTGTTTGGTGGATAAAGAGTTGGTTGAGTGGTTCCAGCAGAGGGTTGGCAGTGGCTCCCAGGTGGAGGCTGGTGATGAAGGGTGTCCCCCAGTGTTCTATCTTAAGTTGGGTGCTCTTCATCATCTTCATAAATGATGTAGAAATGGGATCGAGTGCACGCACAGTGAGTTTGCTGATGGCATCGAGCTGAGTGTGCAGTTGATACGACAGAAGGAAGGGAAGCCATCTAGAGAGTCCTGGAAAGGCTTGAAAAGTGGAACCTAATGAGGTATAACAAGGCCAACTGCAAGGTGTTGCGCTTGGGTCGGGTCAATCTCAGGTAGGAACACAGGCTGGGAGAAGAATTCATTGAGAGCAGCAATGTCCTTAAGTGGGTCCTGGGCACGAGCCAGCAGCGTGCTCCTGCAGCCTGGAAGGCCGACGGTGTGCTAGGCTGCATCAACAGAGGGGTGGCAGCAGGGAGAGGGAGGGGATTCTCTTCCTCTGCTCTGCCCTTATGAGGTTCCATCTGGAGTTCTGTGTCCAGGTCTGGGACCACAGTGCAGGAGGGATGTGGAGCTGTTGGAGTGGGTCCAGAGGAGGGCTACAGAGATGATCAGAGGGCTGGAGCACCTCTCCTGTGAGGAAAGGTTGAGGGAGCTGGGCTTGTTTAGCTTGGAGAAGAGAAGGCTCCAGGGAGACCTCATGGTGGCCTTCCAGCACTTGAACGGAGCTTACAAGCAGAAGGGGCACTGACTTTTTACATGGTCTGAGGGTGATAGGACAGGGGGAATGGCTTTGAAGTAAAGAAGGGTAGATGTAATATACTGGGAAGACATTTGTTACTCAGAGGGTGATGAGGCAATGGAACAGGCTGTCCAGAGAGCTGGAGGTGCCAAGAACAGGTTGGGTCGGATCCTGGGCAGCCTGGTGTAGGGGGTGGCAACTGCTCACAGCTGGGGGTTGGAACTGGCTAATCTTTAAGATTCTCTCCAAGCTCAGCTGTTCTGTATTCTGTGATCACCTGTGCAAATTAAATGAGCACTGAGTGGGTGTGTGGCTTGTAGGCTTTAGGCATGGGTTTGTCTGTGCACGTGTAGCAGGTGTGTGCTGGATCTCTAACGTTTGGCTGGGACAGGAGCAGTGAGGAGTCCTGGTTGTTTGCACCAAGTCTGGAATTCCTGTGATTATATTTAAGGTTTTTGTATTCTGCTTGGAAATCACTGCTGGGTTTCTCAAGTGGGAAGCAGAAAGATGCCTTGGTGTAACTTGAGTAGATGATGGATTCACTGAATCCTTTGGTACCCTGCAAGTGACTGGCGTGGTGTACCCTGCACGCTTGTTTGGATTAATCTCACCATCTGGAAGCCAGAGGCCAGGTTTGCTCTACACTAAGTGGAGGAGGGAGGGAGCTGAGAACTCCAGACGTTTTTCCTTCATAGGTGTTTATTTGAGTGCAGGCTGAATCACTGTCTGGAGTTGCCCACAGAAAGGATGTGTGGATGTTTCCACTGTAGAGGGAGCATAGGTGCATAGTGTCCATCTGTGTCCAAATAAATTCCTGTCATGTGGTTACTGCCCTGTTCTTCATGGTAAACTGGTGTGCTTGTGAGAAGGCACTTGATTGCCCAGGTCTGTAGGATGTTTAATTGTAATTTGTTGTGACGTGACTGTAAGTTGTTGAAAAAGTGAGCTATTTGCCACAAAAACACGGAGTTATTCTTCAAACGGTGACCAGATCTCGTATCTTTTATTGCAAATGATGTATAAAATAGAATCAGAAATATGCTGGTCTGTATTGGCCATAAATGTTTTGTTTTTGTAAATCTGGCAATTGGCTTCAAGTGTTCTTAGAATCTTTAATCCTAACAAGCAGCCTTAAGTGTAGGAGATGAAATGCAGAGTACTTTTACAAGAATCCTTATTGTTAAAAAAAAAAAAAAAAAAAAAAAAAAAAAAAGACTAATTATGGTCTTTATTCTTTGGAAAGGTACCTTTTTATTTATATCTTTATCGTCCCAAGGAAGTCCTTGGGTTTGCTTTCTCTTTGTGAAGTCTGTTGTGCTGATGATATACACCTTGCCTGGCTGAAGTCCATGGCCACGTTTCAGCTCTCAGGTTTTCTGAAGCTTTATTTTCTGCTTTAAATGCTTGGTGTGCACGTATTTGTTGTGAGTGGAAGTGCCCTTAGAAAATAAGTTAGAAGTAGTGCCGTCAGTCTTCAGTTTTTGCTAGCATTTATCTCCCTGCCTTTTCACTACCTCGGTGTTAGTCTGGGCAGTGAAAAGGATCAATGAAGCACCCTTTTATTGTGGTGGTAGCTGAGTGGTCAGTAGCATCTTATGTTGTGAAGGCAAACACATTATCTACAGCTGAACCTGGTGCTGTTCAGCAGGCTTTATTAATATGTTTGTTTTTAGACTGGGAGCCTTTGATGCTTATTGCTATCCTGCTACTACTACCTCCAGTTCTGTTGTTGCAGATAACTGATTACAACAGTGAGTTCTCTGGAAAGATTTTGGCTAAAACATATGGGGAAATAAATCAGTAAGATAAGTAACTACTGCTTACTCTTGGTTTCCTGGGGTCTTAAACTCAGTTGTCTAATCCTCTTGTGGGTTTCAGTCTGCAGCCACGAACTATCGTCATGTTATGCTCACACTGAATTCTGTTCACTCTTTATGTATTTCAGTTGATCAACTGAGCTTCAATGTGTCTTACTGTGGCTTTCTTCTTAAGGCTGTTCAGTATTTTCCTGTGAAGGTTTTAGTTGAAAAGCTGCATGTTGTAGCTGTGCTGAAGTCAACCAAGTTTGTACATTCCTTGTAATTATTAACTAGTACTGAAATATTCTGCCTACCTCATAGAAATGATGTAGATTTAGCCTGTTTTGTTTGACAGCAGCAGCTGTCGATCAGCATGGCCGATAGCTTTCTGTAGAGCATTGAATGCTCCCAGGAATATTTCATTTATTTAAATGCAAAGTACTCAACTTTCTCTTTCTCTCTTCGAAGGCATCCCTGCTGCACCAGTTTCAGAGGCTTCAGAGTACGTTGGTCATAGCAGAACACAACAATGAGACTCTTACACCCATTACGCTCAATGCAGTCACTGCAGCAAAACGTCTCGGAGGCGAAGTTTCCTGTTTGGTTGCTGGGACCAGTTGTGACAAGGTGGGAAATCCTGTTTTCATTTGAATGAATTAATGAATGCGGTGGAATTCTATGTGGTAGCATCTCGGCTAGCTTGAAAAATAATCTGGTGAAAAGGAGCTGTGCCATGAATTGCTAATCTACAGGAAATGTGCTGCACTTGAGCTGCTTCTCTTCTGAAGTGGAAATGTGGGTATTGTTTTAATTTCACAAGGAGGAATATCAGAATAGGCTGTTACAAGTTAAGCAAGCATGTTTTTGTAAGACTGTAGGACAATTAACTCTTAAAACTGTTCTCCTGTAAAGTTTGAAAGGTAAATAATGCAGTGCTGGGAACCTGGGAGAAAAAACCTTGCACTGTGCAAGGAGAGATCAGCAGAAATGAAAGGGCACAATGTCAGGTGAGGCTTCGGAGTGTCTGCCTTTCAGTGGTCACTGCTGGTAGCAAGAGTGTCTGCAATCACTCTGTGGATAATCCAATCTGTATTCGCTGCTGTGTTGTCAGTCTGATTTTTGTGAAGTGCAAAATCTGGGGACAGTGTACCTGTAGTTTGTGAGAGGCACTCTTACCCCAGCATGATGTAGTCTGACATGAACAAGAACAATAAGAACAACTGTGCCTAATTTTTTAATATCAGGCTATTGCTTAGGAACTGTGATTCTGAAAGGGCCATATGCTGTCTTGTGCAGGAGGCACAGTCACAGCAGTTAATTCACAGGTGACTGAACAAACCTTACTCACTGCTGCAGACTGATTCTAAACTGAGACTCAGGTGCTCAAGGTTGAGACTGGAGACATACTTACCTGGATCAGTTAAAAATAAAACAGTAGCAACAGCGAAAAGAAGCCTGATTTGTCTGTCTGTGGATTTCCTTCTTCTTTTATTTATTTATTTATTTATTTATTTAGTGCTTGGATAATAGAACAGTGATTGGGAATGCTTTGTTTGTTTGGGGTTCAGTACCAAAGCATGTGGTGTCTGTTTGGCAATGTCCATCTTGCTGGGGGAAAAGTTCTTCACAGAAAATGAAATTGATTGGTTTTTTTAAGCTTTGTAAGAATCTGTGTCAGTAGGACAAAGGAGCCAGTTACTCAGATATCCCATAACAGCTGCTACAGAATATTTGTTTGTATCCCCTTGTTAAATTTTAAGGCTAAAGCTGATTCTCAGCAAACTTAGTAAAACTGCATTTGTTCGGTGGTGATGCATGTGGCCTCCAGACATTGCTGTCAGTCTTTTCTCTGATCTGTAACAGCCCTTTCATCATTTAAACTTCACTTCTGCAAATACAAAGGACAAAATTGCATAAAGATAGCATTGGAAATAGACATCACATCAGTAGGCAGTCAGCTGCAGAGGACTGCTGCTGAAATTTGGGCAAAGATTGTAATAACATTGCTGTTCTTATTTGCTTGCTGTGCCTCTGCAAGTAGATACTGACTGACGTAGAAAGAATATAGGATTGTTGTCTTTGATTATGTTAAAATGCTTAGTAATTATCTTGGAGTGAGACAATTATTGGCTATTATCATAAAACACGAGATGGCTGTGTAGTCTCTTGTACTGGGCAATCTGTGCTAGGTTTGCTTTACTCTGTAGTTCTCTTATTGCCAGGATTGGTTTGCAGTGCCCTGTAAGGCGCTGTGCTGTGCGTCAGAAGATCTGCAGCTCATTCTGTAAGGTTTGTGCTAACTCCTACACGATGTGCTTTTGTGTTTCACTTTGAACTAATATAGAGGGCGAGCAGTTTGCGTTAGGGACTAATTAGGAGCTCTCTCCTGCTGTCTGTCTGTGATGCTTGCCACTGTGGAGCTCTGAGTTTGGCTGAAGCCTCCGTGTGCTCTTGTAATGCAAACTAATAACGATTGGTTTGTAATCACAGGTAGCACAAGAGCTCAGCAAGGTGCAGGGTGTTGCAAAAGTGCTTGTGGCTCAGCACGACCTATTCAAGGGATTTCTAGCAGGTGAGACTGATTCTTTCTTATCTGTTGACCGAAGAAGCAGTATTGGGATTTGTGACTGATGATAAAATAGTTGTAAACTTGTATTTTTATTCTCAGAGGAGCTGACTCCCTTGGTTTTGGAAACTCAGAAACAATTTAAATACACTCACATTTGTGCTGGAGCATCTGCCTTTGGGAAGGTGAGTAAATCAAAATGCATCAAACAATTCTTGCAGGACAGAGAGGCATTTTTGTATGTGTGCCTGAGAGAGGGTCTGCAGGTCAGCCCTGGACAATTCAGAGTGTCCTAAAAACGTGACAGCAGTGCACTGAAGAAGCCAGTAGCTGCTTCTGAGTTCTCTTATGGGCTGATTTGAGCTAAGGGGCAGTGGAGGGGCTCAGTAGTAGTAGCCAGCTAATTGTATGTGCGTAAGGCAAAGTGTATAAAATGTGTAAGAACACAGAATACTTAAAGGTATCTGAAAGCCTTATGAAAATGCAGTAATTGGGGATGAAAACCTGGTAAACTGTTTTTGGTGACTTTTGTTTCACTTCTAGTATTATTAGGATTGTTATGTAGTTTTCATGTTGAAATGAAAGCGTGCAGACCTGTTGGCAGCAAACTCTTTTGGGGGAGGAATTGCATCTGTGATGTAGGTCTTTAGATTGAAATGTCTGTAAATATATATAGATAATACAGATCCAAGATCTAGCCAAGTTGTTTTGTGAAGAAAATCTGATTTTTCAGAACTTTTTAACAAGTACATACTTAAAAATGTGCTTAGATGTGTGGAGAGCCCCAGTGCTGACAGTCAGGTAATGTTGTGGTGCAGCTGAATTAGAGAAAAAAGGACATTCTGGAAATGTTGCCAACGTGGAATGAATGATGACATCAGCCTTCCTTCTATTTTTACTTCCAATCAATATCAATCCATATAATTGTAATTTTGCTAAGAGAAAAATCCTTACATGCCCCAAGTCTTAGTCATTCCATTTTTCATTTATTTGTGATCTGCAGTGCCTCGGTTAATATCTTGCTTTAAAGCTTATGCTCCCATCATCAAGTAGTGCTTTACTGGAGGAGTCAAGCAGTGACTGTTGTCATGGCTGTGAGTAAAGATGACCGAGCAGGGCTCTGTGGTGTGCCAGGTTAGCAGAGGGAGGGAGAGAGAGAGCAAGTTAAGCTCTTGCTGTCCTTAATTTCTCAATGCCTTCTGCTGCTCTTTTTATCCTTTTCCCCATGCCCTGTGGTTCTAAATAATTCTCTAGAGCTAATTTCAGAATAAGGGGATATGTATTCTAACAGTAATTTTTAAATAGTAAATTTTTGGCTTTTTTTGGGTAGGAGAGTAATGTTTTCCTCCTGCTGTTGTCTCTGATAAATGGCTTCCAAGATACTTTTTGTTTTCTTTTTTTTGTTGTAAGAACTCAGCCATCCATAATTGTCAATTTTCCGAGTAAATCGCATCTGTATTCAGTTCTAAATTATTGAAGCAAACGAGCCTCCTAATTTAAGATATTCAATTAGGGGGTTACTTACTGTAAGGATCATAACATTTCTAATGTTATTACAGTGCTGGGTTCTTATTTGGCTGCTAAAGCTGTGTAGTCCTGCAGTCGTGTTACAGTCGTATGTGCCTTCTTAGTCACAGGCAGCAATCTGTGAGCTTAAGATCAGGTCAGCAAACGTTCCTCTATTTAATATGTGCATTTCACCTTATGTCCTTTGCATTTTCTCACGTGCAGTGTGCAGATACCAGCATTTACGTTGCTGACTTTTAATCTTTGACTTGTAGAATCTTATTCCCAGAGTGGCTGCGAAGCTGGATGTTGCTCCTGTTTCTGACATCATTGAGATCAAATCACCCAACACTTTTGTGAGAACTATCTATGCAGGTAAGCAGTCACAACAGCTGTGTGGTGCTCATGCAATGAAGTACTTAATCCTGGTAACTTCTTACAGTCCAGCTGTTAGAACATTGGGATATTTTAGGAATGTTCACCTTACAGTCTAAATTGCTTAAAAATCCAACGTGGTGCTCTTTGAGAATCCGAGCACTGGTAACTTTGGTGCTGTAGGGTTTTAGATGGAAACCAGCTCCTTCACTTTAATTAGTAGAATTCAATCTCCTTTATACATACTCAGTTTCTTTGTTTAATGTATTTCTGATTTGATTTTGTAAAACATAAAACATTAAGTTAATTGTCTGACATTATTTAATATGACTTCCATTAGCTCTGATTTGAGCTGCCACGGGGTTGTTTTCTCTAATTATGAAGACATTGCACTGATTACTTATAATATTTAATTGATGTAATTTGTAATTCTTTTATCAGCCTTTTTTTTTTTTTTTTTGTAACTCTGTTCTGCCCCTCTGGTTTAATTCAGAGATGGACTCCTGAGCTTGTGTTTCTTAATGCTACTGTACCACCTACACCAAGGTGGTATTTTGAGTTACACTATCAGCTTGTGGTTGCGTGTTGTTTTTTAGCTGCTTTTCAGTAATTGGCAGTTTCAGGATGATTTTGTTTATTAACACCTGGTGTTGTAGCACTTTTTGAGTTTAGTTTTTAGCCTGTGGAAATAAGTACCTTATGCAGTCTGACAGAAAACACGATCAAAGTCATACCACGGTATAACGGATTATTATTATTACAGATCTCTCTTTATGCTTAAGAACAGTGGTTTCAAAGGTGTGTTTTCCCTTATGACATGTAAAAACGCTTGCAAGGGGGTGATTTAAATGTGCTGACTGCCTTAAAAATGAAGCAATTTTTGTCATACTGCAGAAACATGGAGTTCAAAGTCGATCAGAACACTGGAAATGAACAGCTTAAAGAGTGCCTGGGTTCCCAGTTCTCATCATCTAAAAGTTTTATTTTTGGCAGGAACTTTGTGTCATGTGTGTGATGTCTTCTGTAAAAACATGATTGTTCTTCACTAGGAAATGTTCTTTGCACCGTCCAGTGTGATGAAGCAGTTAAAGTGTTTTCTGTACGGGGGACATCTTTTGAGGCTGCGCCAACGAGCGGCGGCAGCGCCAGTGTGGAGAAAGGTGAGCATTTGTCCTTGTGTTTTGTCACTTAGAGTTAGGTTCTATTTTGCAGGCTGATGTTTGTCAGAGCAGATTGGTAGTAATTTAATAATCTTAGCCTTTTCCTTTTAAATATTGGTACTTGGTTGTTGTTATCTGGTAGGGGAAGATACGAGTTGTCATTTCACTGCTTTCTCTTCACCCAGAAGCAGATTCTGCGCAGATTATTTGTGCCTGTTTCACTCGCTGCCTGAACCTCATCCGTAGCAATCTTGGAGCTAGTCCTTATTTGAAGTTAGAGCTGTTTGAATAGCTGGGTTGGTTTTTCACAGCACAAGTTGCTGGCAGTCCACAGCTTTGGTTTGATCGGTCGTATTTCAGTTGAGATAGTTCATTATGGCACTGAGTAAATTAGTGGTAGTTGAAATTGGATTGAGAACACTCCATCATCGTTTTATATCAGTTTCAGTGGTTATTTTAATGAAATCTCTGTAGCTTGGATTGTAGAGAAATCCATGGTCTCAGGGTCATGAAATTGTTTAGGTTGGAAAGGACCTCTGGGGACCCCTCTGCTCAGGCAGGGACACTGGAGCAGGTTCTCCAGGGCTGCGTCCAACTGGGTTTTGAATACCTCCACAGGTGGAAACTGGCAGCAGCTGCTCTGGGCTTCCCGTCCCAGGGTTTGATCACTTCTGCTGTTTTTCACTGTGGGCCCTTTTATGACAGTGCTGTAAGTCCACCAGAAGCAATCTCTAGTAACGTGCTGTGTGTCCCATACATCACCTTTGCAGTCCTCACCTCTGTCTGGGAGCCATGAGTGCATTGCCAGAACCATCGTGTATTTCCTGACTTGCGCAGAAGTTGGTAGACATGCTGCTTGAGATCTGACATTGGCATATTGTCCTGTCTTTGCACTGTTTGCAAGGGCTGCTCCAAAAGTAATGCCTTCTGTTTGATCCACAACATCAGTGGTGGATTTTGGTGGTATGGCAGCAGAGGTTGTACCTTCCCACCAGTAAACAAAACTCCATTATGTTTTGTTGCCATGTGGCAGCTGGCAGCAGAGGGGCACTCTGACAGAGCAGCTCCTGACATGGAAGTGCGTGTGAAGCAAACGGGTGGAACTGAATTCATCCATGTGGAAAAAGTGGCATCCATTGATGCTTGCTGAATGGTTTTGGAGACCAGACAGTGGATGTGAGCACGGTGAGGAGTGGGTGGTGTGTTCCAGCAGTGGCAACAGTGACAGTGGGTTGCCTCTGCTGGTGCAGGTTTTCACGAGTGCAGCATAAAGGCTCTTGTTCAGTGCTGGTGAAAGGACACAACTAATGGTGCTGAGAATGGTGTGCTGAGAAAAAGACTTCTGTAGCTGACAATTTGCTCTATCAAATAATGTTATCATGCTCTTTGTAGCTGCTGTAGTTTTCAAGGAAATGAACAAGAGGCATTACTTTTGGAGCAACCTATGTAGTTGGTTTGATTGCCTGTCTTTTAAAAGATCCATGGTTATTATGTTGGGTTGATACCAGTATGTTGCTTATAGAGCAGACCTTCATTTAGTGCAATCTGATGTACATAAAACTTCATAGAACAGTCTTGCACTGCAGGATAAATAACCACAGGTAATAGGGGAGGCTTGTAGCTCAGAGTCACAGAGCAACTATTCATGGTAATTAAAATCTTGTGGCAGAGCTGGCTCCACAGTGAACTTGTGCATGAAGTTTAAACTGAAATTTGGAAGGTTGAAAGCCCGTGCTTTATCCTTTTTCTTGTGGATCCTTTTTCAACCTGCTTAAAACAGTGACCCCTCCAGCACCTGTTGGTCTGTCGGAATGGATTGAGCAGAAGCTGTCAAAAAGTGACCGGCCTGAGCTTACGAGTGCAAGAGTGGTTGTATCAGGTGGTAAGTAGTGTGCTTTTGTGCATTTCTGTGATGCTACAGCTCAACTAAATGATAGGACAGGGGGGAATGGTTTTAAACTGAGACAGAGGAGGTTTAGGTTGGATGTTAGAAAGAAGTTTTTCACCCAGAGGGTGGTGAGGCACTGGAACAGGTTGCCCAAGGAGGCTGTGGATGCCCCATCATTCAAAGCCAGGCTGGATGTGGCTCTGGACAGCCTGGGCTGCTGGTTGGCGACCTGCACACAGCAGGGGGTTGGAACCAAATGGGCATTCATGGCCCTGTTCAACCCAGGCCATCCTGTGATTCTGTAGGAAAACACTGACTTGGTACATTTTTTGAAATAGGACATAGGAGACAGTGGGGAGACACCCAACATCTGTGTATCATGAAGTGGCAGAACAGAGAAGTTTGCTATATGCTAATAGGCATTTTAAGATCATTGCCATAATTGGTGAGCCTCTCTAAAATGACAGAGTGAAGTGTTTTTAGATGAAAGTTTGTTTGATTTAAAATTAATCCAAATCATTGCAGGCAGGCCAAACATGATATAATGATTTTAATAATTTTAAAAGCTGTTATTTTTGTATTCTGCTCTTCGGGTTTAAATCTTTTGTTGGTTTGGTCTTTGTGCATACAGAAAGATAATAAAAGCCTTTAGTTATCCTACTGCAGAGTTTTATGCCTAAAGCCAGCAGGGGGAGCACGAAAATCCTGTCTTCCTAATTTCAAAGGAGGAGCTTGATGATGCTAATAAACAGTGGGAGTGGTGTTGGTTTGTATATGTAATATTTATTACAAAGAAAAAAGCTAAATCTCACAATGTCAAATACTATTTAATTCTGTATCCAAAGATAACCAGTGCAAACATATCCTTGTGCCTTTGCAAGTGTAGATAATAAAACAGAACGTTTATATGTGTAACAAAAAATCCTAGAGCATATTGTACTCTTTCTTCATCTTATTTTTGTTTTTTAACTTTTAAGGAAGAGGCTTAAAGAGTGGTGAAAATTTTAAGTTGCTCTATGATCTTGCGGACCAATTGAATGCTGCAGGTAAAGTCACCCCCCCTTTTCAGATACTGCTTTACAGAATCACAGTTCTTATGGTTTGAGTGGTTCTTCTTGCCACGTTTTTCAGCAAAATATTCTACCAAAGGCTGGGGGGGAGGAGGAGCTGCTTGTGCTAAGGTTTTGACTGCATTAGCCTTAGATTTTACACTTAGTAATCAGTAGAATTTTTACATGAGTGGCTTTGTTTTCTAATTGTTGGCTTCACTGATTAAATATCTGTGTGGTGCTCTTGAGTTCAGTTGGATATTTTGCTTTACTGGCTCTGACTTCTGAACTTGGTGTAAGCGATATAAGATGGCACATGTGTTCTATTAAAACTTGCTGGAACGTTATGGGAAGGCATATATGGGAAAATCCTCTTTTGACAAAGCAACAAGAAAAAATAATGGAAATATGCCAGACTGAAATCCTCACTTTTAAATATATGGCCTTTTGGTGCTGGGAGTAAGGATTTCCTGTTGCTTATGAAGTGCATTAGCATTTAGTATTTGGAAGTTTCTGCCAGTGTTATGGAGAGGGATTACTTTAAGAGCTCTTTAGAGGGAGCTTTCTAAATATGTGCCCTTAATGTGTGGGACTCTTCAGTAAAATACATGTGCTTTTATGGTGGTATGAATTTGAGTTGCTAATATTTTAAAAGAAAACATTGGAAATATTTTCTTTCAACTAGTTGGAGCTTCCCGTGCAGCTGTAGATGCTGGCTTTGTTCCTAATGACATGCAAGTTGGACAGACGGGTAAAATAGTAGCACCAGTAAGTATGGAAATAGAGCTCATAAGAGAACTGCGGTGTTTGCTGGTATACATGTTCCTTCAAAGCAATGAACTAAGTCTCTGCTGAACCTAACAGGAAAACCTTTGTGTGTCTGGCATGGTACTGTCACATAAACGTGCATTTGCAAGAACTGCAGCAGCAAGCTGTGATGTAAATCTCCACTTTAGTCCAATTAGAAGTTTCCTGCGGACAGTTTGGATAGAGGTTTTGCAAGCTGGATTTTCGTTATAGTGGCCTATGTTAATCTTTTTTTTTTAGTTTTCTGACTGCCATCATTGATGAGTCAAAAGGTGTCGTTGCCTGCATAAACTTGAAATTGTGTTGATGTGTGGTGAGGTCTCTAGAAGACCTTTTTACAGATAGTTTAGATGATGGCTTCATTTTTAAGTTTTGATAACTATAACTTCATTGTTGCATTACATTCTAAGCAAAATTTTTGTACGAGATAAAAACACGAGGCACTTGAGACAGAAGTAGTCTGCAAGTTGGCTGCTGTGTAGTGGGATCAGGAGAAGCATACTCCAGTAAGTGTCTTAATTTTGGAGAACAACCTGCAGGAATTCTTTCCTGCTGTGCATCCAGAGATGATGGGGGAGTGGTTTCTGTCCCCATGTGTCTTTCTGGGTCAGTGGAGGGAAGAGGTGGCTTGCTCTCCTGTAGAAGTCTGAGACGCTCTTTTTGGTCCTTACGAGCCAGTGAAACGTGGAGAAATTGATATACAGATAAAACACACTTGAGCATTTGTAAAACAGGAAGGTGCAAATGGAGCTCATCTCTGTGTGTGATAGAATGTATGTTAGCATGTCCTGAAATGAAATGTTGAGTGGCCAGCAACGTGGGCCCATGTGGATATCAGATGCATGTGCTGAGCTGTATAACCTAGTAAGCGTGCAGTCCTTCAGTAAGCAGTTATCTCTCGAGTGTTTATGGCAGCAGAAGGCTCTAATGAGCAACTTCTTACTTGTTCGTGGTTTAGTAAGACCATGTCAAACCAAACTATGGCTATTATTTTTCCACTAATACATCAGACAAGATAGAGCTGCACTTGGAAATCTTGAAGACAGGAATTTGGGCTTCCTGCAGTCTGCTGTCAGTTCTTCCTGCCGGGTTTTCTCGGTCAGGGTACTTTGTGCCTCTCAGCTCTTCTGTCTTGAAATGTGAATGGGAATTCTTGTTTTTTTAGTTAAGTCCTCGTCAAGGTGGAGTCCTGCTGATGATAGCCCTGCTGAAGGGCTAAATGGAGACATTTCTAGGCACGCTAGGTGATAAAGCTGTGAATCTGTATGATATCCAACTTCAGAAAAAAAACCAAGGCAAACAGGATCTGAAGAACAGATGTAAAACATAAGAGTTAAGGAAAGCATAAAAGTTTGTGGTTTGTTTGCATTTTGTTTTCTTCCAAAATCTTGGTAGCTGTGATATCAGTGTCTGTGGAGCTGTACCTGTTACATATACAACCCTAACTCTTCTTTCTGATGTTTTTCTTTGGGTATTGAATGTAGAATCCATAGCATCACAGAATCACCAAGGTTGGAACCCACAGGATCACCCAGTCCAACCATCCACCCATCACCAATAGCTCTCACTAAACCATATCCCTCAACACAATGTCCAAACGTTCCTTGAACACCTCATTTCAGGCTGTTATCCTCTGGACTTCGGAATTATCTTCTGCTCTCTGGAAGTGCATCCTTCTAGTTTAATCTCTTCGGAGTTCTAAGTCAGCATCCTTTCAGGGTTCAGCTCTCTGTCTGCTTCAGCTTTCCTTACAGGTATCCTAGCTGGTAGTGAGGAAGATGTGGCCACACCATTCTTTCACAATTATTAGAGTAAAGGTGTCCATCCAGGGTTAGCCATTGGTGGCCACGGCTGGAAGGCCTGACCTTCACTGTCCCAGGTTTTTGGCAAGGAGGGTGCAGTGCAGAGGAGCCACCCAGCCAGCGAGAGATCCATTCAGTTAGGTGTTCACTGGCAGTTGTTACTTTCAAAGCTGAGCACAGCATACTGTTCCAGCAAGGGGTAACAAGAAACTGAGATGGAAAAATTGGGAAGGCAGGAGTGAGGAAATGTGTGATGTAGTAATAATTGACACCAGATGAGATGGCTAGAAGTGTGGTGTGATGGCACAGAATGCAGCTGCCCTTGGTCATTGATGTGCTGAGAAATCTCAGGTGAGGGAGGCACATGGGAATTCAGCATCAGTGCAGTTCTGGTGTGATCACTGGGAGAGAACTTGCTGACCTCCTCAGCTTCGGTGCTTGTGCTTCAGCTTCATACCAGAGGCTCTCTTTGGTCATTATAAATTGCAGGAGCATCGAAAGGGTGGTAGATTTACAACTTAGTGTGTTAGGTAGAAAATGTTGGAGTCGGATGGGATGGAACAGAAAAGCAGAATAACAAGGAGCACTTCCTGGCAGTGAGATGCACGAAGCCTCAGAGTGGTCTTCCGCAGAGCAGTGGAAATCCTCATGTTCCACTTCTCTTACAAAGTGGTGGGATGCTTTCTGAGCTCATGTATGCTCCAGCATCTTAGAAGGCAGTCCTCTTCTGTACAAGGAGTGGCTTTTTAGCAGTTGGTGGTCGTCATCTTGCTTTGGGAGTAGCTGGAAAGGGGAAGGCAGCATCACATCATTGACATTATTGTATTTCTTACTTTTTGGTTGCTTCGCCACCAAATACGAAGTAGTTCACCTAGCCAGGTTCTGTGGCTTTTTTATTGCTTGGTCTGATGTTATTGCTTAGTAGGTAGCTACAGACTGCTTGCACTGAAACTGAAGCAAGGTGTGTTTTATTCCAGTATTTAACTTCATTTTTGGTCTCTGACTCTTACATAAAGTCTCTAACAAAAGAGTGAACAAATTCATTCTTAGAGAATGTAAGAAGTGTAACCCTTGTCATCTTGCTGGTACTGACTTCTCCTTGCTTCGGTGACAGGATGTTCAGTACTTCCTAATTTGGTGCACACAGAAGTGTCTGCATTCAGATGGGTGATACGTTGTTTAGTTTCGTGCACCTTCAGCTGGCTGCTTTGTGGGGCCGTGCTGTTTGTGCATTACATTTGTGTGTCATGAATGGTCCAGCAGGTGCACATTTGGTTGTGTAATGGCTGGGCTGTGGGTAGTGAGCAGGTGGAAAGAACATGGGGAACACTGACAGGGCTTGGGAAGTTGTAGGAATATCTCATAATTCACTAGTGTTGAAAAGTAGCTTTATAGTGGCAAACTTTGTATGCAGCTGGGACTGAATTTACAGACTACCTTTCTCTGACTTGCTAAAAAGCCAGGGATTGACAGCCCCTTTCATCCTGCATTATCCAGTGTAGCTTTTAACTCCAAGGAAACTATGTTCACAAATTGATGCACTGCTCCTTGGGGGTTGGTGCAGAAACATTAAATTGTACTAAAATATTCATATGTGAGTGCATTTAGCTGAAAGCAATTGATGTGCTTTTCCCTCGAGAGCAAGAAGAAATTGCTGTATGGCCCTGCACTCCAGCAGACACCCTAACCACGCTTAAGAGTAATTACACAGCTTGTCTCATCAGAGGCACTTGCAGAGAGGAGGAGGCTGTAGCTGGGGTGCAGCTTAGTAACGTGCCCCTCTTGGATGGGGCATATTGGACAGCATTGCTGCTGAGTGCAGGATGTTGTTTGATGTACAGTGTGATATCAGAACCTGTGTCGAGCTAGCTCACGTTTTATTCCAGTTACATATGGAATTACAAAAAAATAATTGTGTGTGATTACATAAAATTACGTTTTATTTGGTTAATAGCTTGCAGTTGGAAGGAATCTCATGTATGAAGCAGTTCTTATAATGGCTTCTAATTCCTTTGTGCTTTCACTCTGGCAAAAGAAATAAAATGAGCTGCCTTTAGAAAGAGGACGTGTGCCTAAGGAGTTTATCAGAGTGGCTTGTTTAGATGCGTGCCACTGATAGGGTTATCAGCTGATGCACACTGAAGGTTTTCAGTGTAATTCAAAGGTTGACATAAAAAGCTATAGCAGCTGAGAGCCTTCTTGCAGTGTAACCACCTCCTCTTGTGCTGCACCTGTGAAAGATGTGCTGTTGTACCCTACAGCATTCAAAATCACTGTAGGTTGCAGCTAAAAACTGTGCTTGTCATTCTCCTACACAAATGTAGCCCCAGCAGCCTCGAGGCAGCCTAAGGTGTTCTAAAATATTAGCATCAGTAAAAGTGAAGTAATGTTATATGCCACCAGAAATGGGAATTAGGATGGCTAAATGGTTAACATGCACTGCCTCTCCCTATAAGATATGCTGGGGTCATGTTTGTGAGAGTTTGTGGAAGGAAAAAAAGCCACAGAACTATGCTAGATTAATAATTAATATGGCAAGTGAGAGAAGTTGGGTTCTCGATTTGGAATCTTGCCTTTGATATAGGCGAGACCTTTCAGGCCCTGCCTCCCAGTAGTGCCCTGTGGGATGCTGTGTGGCAAGACACAGCCAAGCACTGCTGCTGTGTGCAGGTTTGCTGGCAGAATCAGCTTTGTCTGGAGCTCTCGTGAGAAGCTTAAGGGTATGTTGTGTGCTGATGCTCCTGCCTTCGTGCTGTCTTGGTACTGACACAAGAAGCCTTTTCTGCAGCAGCATGTATTTAGTGTAGGTATTTCCTGGTTGTACTTCTCACCTTCTGCTCCATATGTTTCTGAGCTCTTTGGTCTGTTCAACTTCCTGGCTGCTTGCTTTCCACTTCTGCACAGTGAAAGATTCGTGGTGTGACACTGACATATTTGCAGTAAATACTTTCTATGTGACATTAAGTTACTGTGAGGGAAGATAGTTCTCTCTGATGGCACGTCCCTGTCCCACCAAAACTATGCTCTCTCCCTTTTTTCCTCTTAAATTACTATTAAAGCTTCATCTCAGACAGTGCAGGGAGCCCTTTGGTGCGGTGTCTGCTTGCTGTGTTGTTTTCCTTGTGCAGCACAGCGCTGGCAGCAGTGAGAGCCTGCCCATGTGCAAGCACCAGGGAGTGCAGAAATGCCTCTCTACTCACTAGACTTTGGCATAAGTGCCTCTAATTGCTGGCTGCAGATCAATCACCTGACAGCAGTAATTAGAGCAGCTTCCAGGGCTCTGAAGAGCAGGAATGTGAAGCTGGTGTAAAGCCATCTTTGTTGGCACCTGAGAGATGTGATGCAGAGCTTTGTTCCCTGGCCTGTGTGCCCATAGATGAGCCCTGAAGAGCTGAGATCTTCTCCCAGACCTCGCGTGCCCTCTGCTGCAATGGCCACGTGCTGCTAATTGGAGTCGTGCTGCTAATTGGAGTCCTGCTGCCCTGTGGCTGCTCCGTGGCACTGCTCTGCTCTCCACCTTCCTCCCTCTTTATAGTGCCTGGGACAGTGAGCACTACCACAGCAGAAGTGCTAGGACTCAGCTAAAGCCAGGATGGAGGTCAGTGATTTCAGGGGAAGCATCAAAACAAGGGGGTTACCCTGAGAGGGACTGAAAGAGATCAGAATTTTGGAGGCCTTCTTGACCTCTCCATATGTGTAATTGATTTTTTTTTTCCTTGGAGGGATCTGAGCAGTCTCAAATCCTTATCATTCAGGTCTCATTTTTCCTTTTAATAAGTAGTAGAATAAATTTAAATCAAGACTTAAGCCATCACATCTGTTGTGCAGCCTTGGCCTGCTGCTGGCAGCATACTGTCACGTGTTACCTGTGTGAAAGCATTACTGAGGTGTTCCACCATTGGTGCTGCAAGGCATTGAGCAACCAGTTGTTTTGGCTGGAGAGCCAAGAGCTCATAACCTAGAAGGGCACGGCTTAGAGGCAGAATGAAGGCTTTTTAGATGAGCCCGGTAATTTAGAAATGTCTTTTTTTAATGAAGCATCCTTGTCTTTCCCAGATATTTTAGTCAAATATATACATAAGCATCTGGCTCCTGGTTAGCTGGATTCCTTCCAAGGACTGAACCTTATGATGTTAAACAGAGTGATACGAGTATCTGGCAGTCTGGATGACTGGCATTTAATGAATTGCTCTAAAAAAAAATCATATTACAGTAATGTGCTTTTGAAAAGAGCTTGTATTAAAGACTATATGATGTTACAGCGATTTCTTCTGTAACATCTGTTCTTTTATTTGGTATAATTAAAATATTGCATTCTTACCATGAGGTCTTACATGTACATATTGTATTACAGCGCAGCTGTGGGTAAAGTGAGTTGACCTCCAGTACCAATCTGTGCACTGAGCAGCAGTGGAGACTCAGAAATTGTTGAGTCTCTTCAGCAGCTGTGCTGCTTTTGTGCAGATACACAGACCAGATTCTGTGCTTCAGTTTCAAAGCAAACGGTTCTGATAGGAGATATTTTGTTCCTGCTGTCTGCCTCCCACTTAGCTGTTATGGGAGATCTCCTACGCTTTTCTGCACAAGCTGTTCTTCATTTGCCTGTCCCTGTTTAAAGGCGAATGCAGTAGGTGGAGTCTGTAGCTGTAGATGTGTCAGAAAGCAGTCATCTCTTCACTGCAGTTGATATGATGGCTATCAGCCTGTATGGAAAATGCAGGCTGCCTTCTCTCTGTGTTGGAACACCTTCGTTTGAGCCACTTCTGGAGTTGGTGACTGTCCTACAGCTGTGCTTCAGTCTGCTGTGTTAAAAGCTGCTTAACTGTAACGCACATCCTAAGCTGTGGAAGAACAAGGTCTCTTTTCTCCCATTTGCTCCCTCCGACTCCAAAGATCCTTCTTGGTTTAGGTCTGTGTGTTCTTAGATGCCAGCTAGCTGTGGTAGTGATGAAAAACAAATTCTCTTAAATGTTTTGTGTCTTCATAAGGACATATAAATACAGTGTTTGAATTGGTTTGACAGAGGATCCCCAGCTGGTTTTGTGTGCTCCAGTTGCCTCTTCTGTGACTGAGAGAGTGTGAGAAGTAATTCCTTTGTTTTTCTTCTGTAACGTCGGGCAGCTGAGTGCTGCAGGTCTGCGTGCTGCTTGGACTTGGGCTGCTGGAAGAGCTGCCACTGAGCTGAACATATGCATGGTTTTGGGTAGGCTACAGACAGGGTCATTTTCAGCCTAAGGGGAAAAACTACTTTCCTGCTGTGAATTAACGTCAATGCAGAGCAACTTGCTTATAAATCTTCACCTGTTTTAAGTTTCTTAGGAGATGCCAGGTTGGCAGTCGCAGAGCATAGCAATTTCCTGCCCGTGTGGTGCCTACCTGAGCACTTCTTTGCTCATCCACCACAGGAGCTGGTAGTGAATGGGGAGGGAGAAAAGCTTTAAGGCATGCATATGTTGGGGTTTGGACTGAGCAATAGAAACTGTCACTGCAAGTGGAAATTGTGGTAGCCCACTGCTGTGCCTGAAATGCTTTATCCTGCTGTACAGGAAACTTTCTGAAGGTGTGGGCACCTGAATCCCAGCTTTGTGTGTTCTGTCTTACCCTAACAGAGACACAGAGGCCTCAGACCAAAAAACCTCGTCTTTCTCTTCAGGAACTGCATTATCCCTTTGTAGGTTATGTTGCTCAGTACTTGTTTTGGCCGTCCCTGGGGTCATGAGTAGCACTGATTGCCCTCTGCTCTGTCTGAACAGTGCCCTACATTTGATGCAGGTCTCTGTTTTTTCCAGTCTGTCTTTGCTGGGTGCTCCTTTGGGATTCTCCTTTTACAACTGCATCCCAAAGTGGGAAAGGGAACCAATCACGAGCCACATTTAATATAGACAACCACTGTCATAGAAAAACTGCTCTGTGTAATTGATCCCGAGCAAGGCTTGTGAGAGCTGACCAAAACTGTCGTGAATTCTGACAATGTGTCCTTTTTGTTTTCTTTTAGGAACTCTATATTGCTGTGGGAATATCTGGAGCAATCCAACACTTGGCCGGGATGAAGGACAGCAAGGTATGTCAGAGCTGGGGGTGCTGGAAGAATTGTTGAGGAAGGAGGGGAGTTTATTCTTTGCTTCTCATCAGCACTTCAATAACTTCCCACTTTGTGCAGTGTTACGATTGTCATTTTGTCTGCTGCCTTAAAATGTGCCTCACTACGCCTTGCAAGTGAGGTTGTGGTGGAGCACCTAATGCAATACAGTGCTGCACTAAGCCTGAAGTATTAAGCAAGAGCTAATTCAGTTATGTATTAAAAGAACAGCAACAGAAGACACGCACACATGCCTGAATTCTATACAATAGATGCATTTGCATTTATTTCAGAGTATGACATATTAATTCATGCATAACAATGTGTAATTTGAATTATGAACTTACTATTCCATAAAGTAAAAGATGTCTCTGACATTCCTGCGTTTAGCTATTCAAATGGAAACCTACTGTAAAATGGCAGTCAAACTTTAAAAGGCTTAACTCATTAGTTGCTGAAGCAAATAATCTGCAACTGGCATTGCCAGTTTGGTCCACAGTGCAATGTTTGGAAAGAGTAGCAGAATTACTTGCTGCATCCCGCTGTCAGGTGCCAAACACTTCAAACCAAACCAAATAAAATGATAGCTGTCCTGCTTCCTGCTGAGGAATTGTAGAGAAAAAGGATTGATTTAGTTTTCTGCTTCCAGGGAACTTTTCAGAAGTTTTGCTGGGTTGGGGTTTGTCTTCTGGCAGCCAGGGATTGGAGTAGCTTGTAAAACCATCACAAGCAGAGGAAAAAAATGTGCAAAACCTTGCAGACAGATCCCTAAAATCCTCCTTTGTGTCTGAGCAGTGATAGACTGCAATGGGCTCACATGGCTGTATGTATCCTCACAAGCCAACCTGCGTGGTAAGGTGATCCATGCTGCTTCTTAGTTCTTTTTGCACATATTACTCAAATCAAATGTTTCTGGGGGGAAATGTGGGCGCAGCAGCCTTTTTTGGGTCTCACCCTTCTAAAATGGACGCAAGCTATTCTCACTTGTCTCCACAGTTGAGGAAGAAGCAGTCAAAATTGAGGATCATTGATGGTTGGAGCTGAAGGTCACTGCTGAGGAGAGAGATAAAGGTGTGGATAGTGGCACAGCAGCAGTGTGCTCTCAGTGGCCTTAGTGGAAATGGGGTCAGTGCAGCCTCCCCTGCTTGTTGCTGTGCAGCAACAGGGAGACGTGGGGGCAGAGCAGGAGCAGTGCTGTCACAGCCATCTCTGCAAAGCCTCTGCTCTTTTCGCCTTTCCAGCACCATGTTTGATATTTTGAGATGTTTTTATATCAAATAAGATAAAGTTTGTCAGTAGGAGAAACGTACTTAGGTTTATTTTCACCCAGAGATAACACTTTTTCTGTAGTAAACAAATAGGTGCATTCTGAACTTCAGTTTTGCTTCCGTGTGTTTGAAGTGGATCCTGCTTTCCTTTCAGCCTGAGTGCAGGTGTTGGAGTTGCTGAAAAGTTCCCATTTATACCAACAAAAGAGTTTTGCAGCCATGGAAACTGCCCCTGGATTTCCCCCATCCTCCCATTGGCACTGTGCACTCTCTGGCACTGTGAACTCGCACACTTCAGGATATGCTTTCCAAAGTGCTTTCTACTGAGCGAAGCGAGTCATTTTTGTCCTCTTACAGCAAGGTAGAAAATGCAGCTTTGGAGGAGGCCTGGCGAGTCCTTGCTGCTTTCCATACTTATTTCAGTTCCCTCCTGAGGTAGTTACAGCATCTTTTCTTTCTAAGAGATGTAACGTACGAAAGTTTGCTGTAATTGTTGCAAGCCAAGTGGTGCTTTTTCTTCTTAGGGTGGGAAGTCTGACTGCGGAGATGAGGTAGAGAACCAGATCTTACAAAAAGTCCCTTCAGCAAGAGGAGGCAGAGGAGGGCTGGGGCTGCCAACTGCAGCTGAAGGCAGATGCTTTTGGAGCAGTCGTTGCTACTTTGTTTTGGTCAGTGTGACGCAGCATTTCCCATTGAGGCTTCCAGGGCTGTGGGCCTGAAGGAGGAAGCGCAGGGAGCTGAGTCTGCAGGGTTGGTGGCTGGAGGCGTGCTGTGTGGTGAAGTGACAAGCTCTGAGAGTTGCAGTTCCTGCAAGCCTCTCCCTTGTGCCTGGTGAGGGCTGGGGCTTGGGGCCTGCTGCCTGCCCACAGCAGGGCTCACTGGGGGCGTACAGCTGTGTTCTCTGCTGTCTCAGCCAGTCTGTCCTGCCCGCTGCAGCCATGGGTGCGAGTCCTCGTGTCCCTGGGAGCAGCTCTGGGAACACATGGTGGGGCCTCAGAGCACGGCTTCAGTCTTTTGAATTAATATCCTATCACAAGCTGGGTTTTGCTTCCTGTGCTGTAGAGCCGTTAGCAAAGGCTTGCATTGGCAAAAGGAGTAACAGAAATAGAAAATGAGAAGCTTTGGGAGGAATGTGTTGGGCAGGTATACTGGCATCTTGCAGCTCTGTGCTCGTGAGCTGGCGAGAAGGCAGCAGCAGGGCGCTGCTGTAGGTACTGCCTTGTTGTGTAAACCATGTGGTTCTCCTTTACAGCAAGTCATGGGATACAAACGAGCTGTGAAGGAAGGAGGTTTCTGTAGGCTTAAAAACGCAGGATTTGTGAACTTTTATCTTTGAGTTATTGCCACCGATGTATGCTACTGAGCCATTAATTTTGTCAGGCAAGTACAGTCGGTGGAGGGAGCAAAGCATGTGAGAACCATGAACTGTGGCTACCTGGGAATGGCAGGTAGGTGTGCAGAGGAAATGTTGGTTAGAGCTGTCCTGGGGAATCTGTTGCCTCAAATCTGAGTGGAAGCAGTGAGGTGGAGAGGCAGTGGCAGAGTGCTGTGGTTTAGGCCAACGGGTGTTAGGATCGTTTTATGAGCTGTTGCTTATTTAGAATTTTTTTCCTCCTTCATGGAGTCTCCCCCATCCTGTTGGAGATTCAGCTTTGGACACCCACACTTATTTTGCTGGAAACTGTCACAGACATTTACGATGGGATTTACCTTTTATGAAAGAGTTCAAATTGGGGAAGGCGTTTTCTGGACTGCTGTGTTGGGATTTAGCTCACGTGCATTTTTCTGCTGTGTGACACAATAAATTACACGGCCTGCTGTAAGTACAGGGGCCTTTGGCACGGCTCTGTTACATTTATTTTAAGTAAGTGCTACCTCTGATTTATTTCTATAATGTTATGGCTTAAATATTGCAGGTAATCTGTTGTAGTTTTTTCTCCAGACTTTACTTTCTTCAAGGGGGGAGCACCCCTGTGTAAGGGATTTTTCAGGAATAGACTTTGCTGTTAGGACTGCATGGCTCAGTGTTGGAGACTTGGAGACCATGATGGTGGGCTTTCATGGGCGCTGGGGGTTGGGTTTGGTTTTGAAAGCAAAGCAGAATGGGAAGATATCTGTTAAATGCTGCAGTCTGTAACCTGCTGCCCCCAAAGCCAGGAGCAGTCAGCCTGTTTCCTCAGGTCAGGCCTGTCTCTGCCATCTGCTCCTCCATGATGATCACAGTGTTCACGCGGTGCTTTCCTCTTGTTGCAGACCATTGTTGCTATTAACAAGGATCCAGAAGCTCCAATTTTCCAAGTAGCAGACTACGGACTGGTGGCAGACTTATTTCAGGTGAGGCTCAGCTTTGGGCACGGGAGAGAGAAAGCTGTCAGATGTAATGACAGTTTAGGTAGGTAATAGAATCTAATGGGGTGCTTGCTTTGGTCTGTTTTGCACAAGAGTTGGCTTTACAACTTCATTATTTTCAGTCTCCAAACTCAGTCCCCACAGATGTTGAGAAGGGCGGGTTTCACATCAGCCTGCCTGTGTTCACATTTCCTGAATGTGAGGCATTCTGAGAACTGCACCTAGGTTCTGAAATGAGTTTTTGAGCTTCATAAAGTCTGAACGTACAGAGCTGGTGTTGTCTTCAGACTGCAGCAGTTCTCCTCCTGCGTGGGCTTGCTGCTTTACTGACACTGAGGCGCAGCTGGCAGTTTTCTGGCAAACTCACACGTGGGCTGGGCTGCCCACACGGCCGTACATGGCAGCGGTGTGAGCTCACAGCAGCTCCATGGAGGCATGGGCAGAAGCTGTGCCAGCACTTAATGCCATTCCTGAACTAATGCCTGTTGGCTCAGCGGTGAGCACGGGCCTTTGCGTTAGGCACAGACAAAGTCACATTCTGAAGAAACACCATGTAGACAATTTCCTTAATAAATTTTGTACGAATGCATTATTTCCACTTAATGGAAATGTAGCGCTCTTAAATAATTAAGAGGCTCTATTCAGCAGGAGGGAAGTGGGGAGTGCTGTGAGCTGGGGTGACCCACGGCCCCTGGAGTTGTGGGCAGGGGGCTGGCGTGTGATGGGGGGGTTGAGACCTCACATAAAAAACTTTGTGGGGGTGGAGGGGAAGCGGGTGCGACCCTGGCACTGGTGTTTGCAGGCAGTGCCTGAGATGACGGAGCTCCTGAAGAAGAAGTGAGCAACTGCAGTGGCTGCAGTTGGGCTGGGCAGTAATGACAGCACAACCCCAAGATTACTGGAGAGTACTGGTGTCAGTGTATGTTTGTGCTGGGCAGTGCTTGGTACGGGTGGAGGTGGGGACAGAGGTGGTATGAAGGAATAACAGTAATAAAGGATTGGAGTGGAAAGAGAGGTAACTGTGGGTTGTTTTTTGTTTCTTTTTGTGGATGGAAGGGGCTGGGACACCAAGTGGTGGGGGTACAGGGGAGGGTGAAGAAAAGCTATCAGGAACAGGAGTCAAGGCAGGAAAGGTAAGGGAAGGGAGAGGTTTAAGGTAAGAAAAGAGGGAAGAGGGATGGAAGACAGGAACAAGGGAGGCAGCAGTGGTTGTCAGTGTTTATTCCCAACCTCACTCCCCTCCCAGCTGTGCTCAGCCCCTGGGCAGAGGACATGGGGAGCTGGGAGGCCAGGCTTGGAGCAGGCTGGCCAGCAGCTCTGTCTGTCCCTGGACACTGTAGCTTGGTGCTGGTGGAAGGTCTGTGCACCTTGGGGCTAACCCCAGGCTGGTGGCAGGACACGGCCGTAAGTCTTTTCTCCCTGCCACTGGGCACTGCAGGTCCAATCCTGGTGGCTGAAGACAGGGGGAAGATCTCCCGTGCCTCAGAGGACACCATTGGTACCGGCTGGCCCAGAGCTGGTGGCAGGGCAGGCCTGCTGGGGGCCAGTTGGGTGGTGCGAGTCCAGCCCTGGGCTGGTGGCCATTGCAGGAGGTGCCATAGGTGGCCTCCGGTGCTGCTGCCTTACCCGTTGACCCAGCACAGTGAGCATGCCCCACAGCTCCTTAGGCCTCAGGTACCTTGCTCAGCCGTGGCTCGGGGGCTCCCAGGGCCCCATACTTGTCATCAATCACCGAGGGGCCCTGCGGAGAGTCTATGAGCGGCTTTAGCTGGAAGACCTCGAGGTTCTCCTGATTCCTGCGGTTGTAGACGCTGAGGCGGTGGCCGAGCTCAGGGCTGGCCCTCACTGAGCCCGCGGGGCTGGGCAGCTTCAGGTTGACAGGGTCCAGCCCCTTCTGCGCCAGGCGTGCCTCTTCAGAGAGGGAAGAGAGCAGCTCCTGGACCACGGCTTGTGCCACCCGCTGCTGGCTGGACACGAGGTCTGCGCGAGGGCTGGCGCCGGCCGCGTCCTCGCAGGCTGCGCTGCAGTCTGGGGAGGAGCCCAGCGTCTGGCTGCTCTCACTGCACGCCTGGGTGCCAGAGCTGACGGTGGAGCGGGAGGCGCTGCCCGAAGTGATGCTGGCCGACGTCCCGGTGCTGCTGAGCCGCATCGGCACCTCCACTGTGAAGAGGTCGGAGGAGATGTTGGGGCGATGGACGTCGATGGCGGCCGTGGTGACCACGCAGATGGCAGCCTCAGGAACACCGCTGTCTGCAGGCAAGAACGGCGGAGAGGGGCAGGTGAGAGCACAGCGCAGGGAGGAAAACGAAGTAGCAGATCTCAGAGACCACTGCAGCTCTCTGAGGGATGGATGGGTGCACAGACCCCTGCACGCTCCACTGTGAAAATGTAATGCAGATAGGATCCCTCTCCTTTCCTGTTATTCATTGTATACTTAGGTAAATTAAATCAGCACAGGTAAATGCGTACATGCACTTACATATGTGCAGAGACAGAAATGGGGAAGTAAAACATGGCAGAAATAGCAAAAGTACAGCTAAACATGCATCTACATGGACACTTTTTACAGCTACCACATACAGATGTTTTTATGAAACGTACCAAACGCCCCCTCCTGCTCTTTCCCCCAACTAATGTTTATGTAGCCCTCTTTAAATAAATAAATGTATAGATGGTGTTTCCCAAATACCTGTGTTGCTTTTTTTATCTAATTTATCTAACTATCTAAAAATAAAAGAGCTCCCCAAGTCTCCACAATGCGACTCCTAAGTCCACACCTGTGTTTTGTTCATCTCTACATTGGGACTGATGCGCAGGCAAGAAAATAAACCTGTACAGTCTTGAAGAAAATAAACATACACATTCATGCCCACACTGTTACCTATCTTCAGTTACGTGGTTATGTACGTATCTTACATCTGTACAGTCACACACGTGTCTTCATGTACAAATAATGGGAATGTGCACATACCTGTAATTCTTAGTACACCTTGGTACTTGTATATGTGCAAGTACTCATATAAAATACATAAATATAGTCTTGCACACACCCCTATCTAGATATTTGTATACATATATAGGTAAATGTACATATACTTAGGTAAATATGTATGCCATGTCTAGCATACATGTATATAAGTAGGTGTGTACACATGTACACATGTCTGTATGCATACATATCTATAAAAACATGCATGTAGTGCATTATCAATCTATACATTCCTATATATAAAACATTATACAGACACATGAAAATTGTTTCCTTTTATAAGCAAATAAGCATGGCTATACCTGAACAACAAACACTGCACATAATAACCATATACAGTCATACCTATGTGTACACACACACACACAGTTTTTAATGCATACATTTTAATAAGCAGATATGCAGGCGTCTGTGTGGGTTGGTAGGTGTAGATATTGCTGTACTCATATAATAATACAAATATATATGTACACAATTTTCATTTCTATACACTTTATACACACATATATAAACAAAGATCTGTGTGTGTACACAGTTATATGATGTATAAATGTTTGGCTGTACGTATATAACTCTACATTGCATACCTGTGTACAAATACATGTGTATGTGAGGCCTGATCCAAAAGTAATGCCTCCTACCTTATTCTGTTGGCTCACACCACGAGTGGCAGATGGTGGTGGTATGGCTACAGAGCTTGAACCTTCCCACCAATACTCCATTACATTTTGTTGCCTTGTGACACCTGGCAGCAGTGAGGTTCTCTACTAGAATGGCACCTGTCATGTAAGTGAAGGTGAAGCATAGGGGTGGAATTGAATTGCTGATGAAAACAAACATCTAACAGTGGTGGCTGTGTTGAAAGCTCGTGTTTTGCAGCCGAGGATTTGCTCTATCTCACAGTGTTGTTGTGCTCTTTGTAGTTGTGGCAGTTTCCATGGAAATAAATAGGAGGCATTGCTTCCAGAGCAACCTACTTGCATAAACACGTACCACACACATATAGGAGCATCAGTGTAACCCTGGGCTTGTGGGGGGGGAGGAGGGGAATGTATGTGGTGGAACGTATAGATGGGAATATAAATCTATAATGCATTATACATAATCATCTCTATCTCCACATGCATATTTTATATTTAATGTACAATGCATGTGAATAATTTACATATTAGCTGACACATACCTTGACAAGAATATCCACGTCTATTTGCACATGCATAATTTATGTTCTGTATGTGTATACCCACATCTACGCCTCCCTAGAAATCTATATGCACCCACCTACCTTTTTTATTATGTGCATATGATAAAAAGGTATGCAGTTATGTTTACTTCTGTATGCTTGTGTCTGTGTGTGTCTGCACTGGGTATCTCTGTGTGCCCATCTATATTTCCCCAGCTGCATGGATACACACTCCCATACCTATACGAGTGTAGATACGGTGCTGCACTGAGCTCACTCGCTTTCATTCCCATTCCTTGCCCAGTGGAATCTCCCTGCAGACCCAGCAGGGCATTAACCTCTGCAGGACATTCAGTCCTCCAGCCTGTGATCTGCACCTCAGGGTGCCCCTCACCCTTGCAGAGCTGCTGCTTTGGCTCTTATGGAGAACACCACCAGCTGTGGGTGTTGGGTTCCATTCCCAGAACAGACTCTGCCATTGCTCAGCCTCACCGGGGTTACAGCACACAATGCAATGCAAACATTTGGTTCACACTCACGTTTTCAAGCAGAACTTACCACTGCTGGGCTCATTGTAGTACCGGCTGATGTAATTGTTCATGTCATCCTCTGAAACAACAAGAAGGCAGCGTGTGAGTAAGTGGCTGACCTGGCACAGCCTGCTCACAGCCCCATGGCCTCCTTGCCCTTCCAGGGCCGGGTGTGATGCTCAGATCCTGACTGTGCACTGCACACCTCGTAGCAGTGGCACCCACAGGCTGATAGGAGCAGGGTTCTTCATCACAGCTCCGTGGGATCAGAGATGCCCAGCAGTGCCGCGTGCTGTGCTCTAAAAGCATTCTCATCCTTTTAAGTGCTCCTTTTGATACCATGTTTCAGAGAAGCATGCTCATCCCTGTGGGGCAGATTCCCTTCGCCCCCCGGGTCCCTGCGGCCGCTGTGCTGCCTTTCACAGCACTCTGCGGTTTGCAGGTGAAAGAAACAGATGTTTTCTGGGGAGCACTTTGCCCATACAACAAGACCCAAACCACCGAGCACTCTGTACCTGAAATAGCTGCACTCGTAAGAAGGCAATCGAACCTGACACTGAAAGGGAACGCGGTTGTTTTCCTGGTTTCATTGGCTCCTAAAAGCTTTCTTGGCCCCTGTTGATCTTTAAATGCCTGCAGTCAGAGGTGTGCTTTGTGCTAATGTCCAAGTTTAAAAAAGAGGCCTCCGAGTAGCTCAAGGCAGCGCTGCAGGATTAGGGTACATTGCAAAGCTCTTCAGCTATCTGCTATTCAAACATTTCATTTCAATCATACATAATTCACACTGTGAATGCTAGCAGACCCACCAGCCTGTGCAGGTACTTGGACAGATCTGTGCAGATGTT